AGGCCAGGTGTGAAGCTAGGTATTTGCGTCCCAGTGGCCTAGCAAGGAAAGCATAGGAAAAGATGCTTGGTGTCGTTAATTACAAGAGAAATGCTCACCTAAACCCCTGTGAGACATGGCCCCACTGTCCTTAGGCTGGCCAGCATCAAAAGAGCAGTAATAGTGTAAGTAATAAGTGTTGGTGAGGATACAGAGAAATTGGAAACTTTGTGCTCTGTTAGTGGGAATGTGAAATGATGTGGCCATTATGAAAACAATATGGAAATTCTTCAAAAAAGTTAAAATAGAATTAACCACATGACCCAGAAATCCCACTTCTGGGTATACATCCAAAAGAATTCAAAGCAAGATCTTGAAAAAAATATCTGAACGGCCATGTTCATCATGACATTATTAACCATGGTGAAGAGGTAGAAACAACATAAATATTCATGGGGCCAGTGCTGTGGCATAGTGGGTAAAGCCACTGCCTGCAGTGCCGACATCTCATGTGGGTGCCAGTTCGAATTCCGGCTGCTCCACTTCAGATCCAGCTCTCTGCTATGGCCTGGGAAAGCAGTAGAAGATGGCTCAAGTCCTTGGGCCCCTGCACCCATGTGGGAGACCCGGAAGAAGCTCCTGGCTCCTGGCTTTGGATTGGCACAGCTTCAGCCATTGTGGCCAACTGGGAAGTGAACCAGTGGATGGAGACTTCTCTCTCTCTCTTTTTTAAAATTTATTTATTTGACAGATAGAGTTAGGCAGTGAGGAGAGAGAGACAGAGAGAAAAGTCTTCCTTCCGCTGGTTCACCCCCTAAATGGCCGCCACGGCTGGGGCCACGCCGATCTGAAGCCAGGAGCCAGGTACCTTCCTCCTGGTCTCCCATGCGGGTGCAGGGGCCCAATCACTTGGGCCATCCTCCACTGCCCTCCCGGGCCACAGCAGAGAGCTGGACTGGAAGAGGAGCAACTGGGACTAGAACCCAGCACCCATATGGGATTCCGGCGCCACAGGTGGAGGATTAGCCAAGTGAGCCACGGCGCCGGCCCAGGAGGACTTCTGTCTTTCTCTGCCTGTCCTTCTCTCTCTGTGTAACTCTGTCCACACATAGACAAAGCAATAAACAAAATGTGGTATAATCGGACAGTGGAGTATTATGCAACCTTGAAAAAGAAGGAAATTTTTTCACATGTTCCAGTAGTGACAAACCTCGTGGGCATTATGTTAGATGAAGCAAAAACACTCAGAGAGTAACAAACATTGCATGATTCTAGTCATGTGGACTACCTACATTTGTCAAAATCACAGAAACTTAAAGTACAAAGGTGGCTTCCAAGGACTGGGAGAGGGGAGAGGAGTTAATGTTTAACGGATGCAGAGTTTCAGTTTTGCAGAGATGTTTCTAGGGATCTGTTTACAAACCTTGTGAATATACTTAACATTGCTGAAGCCTATCCTTTATAAAGGTTAAGGGGAGCACTACATTACATCGTACATTTAATATATGTAATTTTTAAAGATAGATTTATTTATTTGAATGGCAGTGAGAGAGAGAGAGAATGTTTCATCTGCTGGTTCACTCCCATATGATCACAATAACAGCAGGGCTGGGCCAGGCTGAAGCCAGGAGCCAGGAGCTTCATCCAGGTCTCCTGCATGGGTGGCATGGGCCCAAGCCCAGCCCATTAGTAGGGAGCTGGATCAGAAGCAGAGCAGCCAGGACTCTCCTGGTGCCCAGATGGGCGCTGCAGGTTGCGGCTTAACTTGCTGCACCACGATGCCGACACCATATGTGTAATTTTTGTTTTTAACCACAGTTGTTAACACCAAAGCTTTTCGCCTGTTTCTGAATTATTCATCCCCGCTGCTGATTTTTATTGAATTTTGCTCCTTTTTCTGCTGCAACTTAACTTTGATTTCTTCCAAGAAACTGTTTCATCAGCTGCCCCTGTAGTGCCATGCTAGGTGAGCCTGGTCCCCCTGGGCTGCCCGCAGACTCCTGCAATCTCACAGTGTAGCCCTGTTCCAGGCCCAGGCTCCTGCATGCTGGGCAGAGGGACGGGCACTCCCTAGCGTCTCCTACTGGGCCCATCCTTTGAAGGTGACCCTTCTCAGACTCAGAGCTCTGGGCTCATCATCTTTTTTTAAACATTATCACCTCCTGACATAACTTCAACTGCTTGCCCCCTATCTGCTTCCAAATCCATGTCTTTGTTTCTGCATGCAACATGTTACCAGATGTCCTCCATCTCATGTGCACAGCAGCTGCAATGCACCCCCATGACAGCAGCTCCCCAGCTGGATGCATTACACGCACCCCATGCCAGATTACTTTTTTTTTTCTCATTAAGACCACCTCTGTTTTTACCATCCACATCAAGGCAATCATGAAGCAAACCTTCTTGACTCTACCTTAAAAGAATATCTGGATGTTGTCTCTTCAATTCTACCATTATCATCTGGGTAACTGTAATCGAAATCACCAAGTCTGGTGCATGACAATTATTAAAATCTTAGTAAATGGGAATTATCTAACAGGCTTCCTTCCTCTCAAATCCTCTCCTCCCTTCCTTCTCTTCTTTCTGTATAAAGTACTGTTTGAAGACAAACTTTACCATTAATTCTCATAGTTCAACTCGGTAAGGACAGAGATCCTACATGAGGAGCAAGTGCACAGTGACTCCTGTTGTTGATTTAACAATTGACACTCTTATTTATGACATCAGTAATCACCTGAGGCTCTTGTCATGAGCTGCCAAGGCTATGGAAGCCTCTTGAGTCTACAAACTCTGATCATATTTAGACAAGGCCATGGTCAAAGTGGAAGTTCTCTCCTCCCTTCAGAGAAGGGTAACTCCTTCTTCGATGGCCCCTTCTTTCCATGGGGATCTCACTCATAGAGATCCTTCATGTAGGTCATTTTTTGCCACAGAGTCTTGGCTTTCCATGCCTGAAATGCTCTCATGTACTTTTTAGCCAGATCCGAATGCCTTAAGGGTTGATTCTGAGGCCAGAGTGCTGTTTAGGACATCTGTCATTCTATTTCTATGAGTCTGCTGTGTGGCCTGCTTCCCATGTTGGATCATTTGCTCCTTTTTAATTATATCTATTATTATTAGCAGACACTTGGTCTTATTTATGTGTTCCTTTTGACACTTAATCCTATCTTTATGATCAGCTATGAACTGAAACCAATCACTTTAACTTTTAGCAAGATGGCACTGGTACCTGCCAACTTAATGGGATTTGGAGTCCCATGGCAAGTTTTTAGCTTTACCGTTAGGGGTAAGTCTGAGGGAATGTGTGCTGAATTGTACATCTCCTCCCTCTCTTATTCCCACTCTTATTTTTAACAGGGATCAATTTTCAATTGGACTTCAATACCTAAGAATAATTGTGTGTTAAGTAAAGAGTTCAACCAATGGTATTAAGTAGGAAAAGAAAATCCTAAAAGAATAAAATAGTAAGCTGTTCCTTGGCAGTCAGGACAAGGGCTGATCAAGACATTGCTTCTCATAGTGTCCGTCTCACTTTTACAGGTTTCCTTTTAGGTGCTCAGTTAGTTGTCACTGATCAGGGAGAACATATGATATTTGTCCCTTTGGGACTGGCTTATTTCACTCAGCATAATGTTTTCCAGATTCCTCCATTTTGTTGCAAATGACCAGATTTCATTTTTTTTACTGCTGTGTGGTATTCCATAGAGTACATATCCCATAATTTCTTTATCCAGTCTTCTGTTGATGGCAATTTAGGCTGATTCCATGCCTTAGCTATTGTGAATTGAGCTGCAATAAACATTGAGGTGCAAACAGCTTTTTTTTTTTCCCATTTAATTCCATTTGGGTAAATTCCAAGTAGTGGGATGGCTGGGTCATGTGGTAGGGCTATATTCAGGTTTCTGAGGACTCTCCAAACTGTCTTCCATAGTGGCTTTACCAGTTTGCATTCCCACCAACAGTGGGTTAGTGTTCCATTTTCCCCACATCTTACCAGCATCCGTTGTTCGTTGATTTCTGTATGTAAGCCATTCTAACCAGGGTGAGGTGAAACCTCATTGTAGTTTTGGTTTGTTAGTGGCTTTGATGGCTAGTGATCCTGAACATTTTTTCATGTGTCTTGTTGGTCATTTGGATTTCCTCTTTTTTTTTTTTTTAAAGATGTATTTATTTATTTGAAAGTCAGAGTTACACAGAGAGAGAAGAGGCAGAGAGAGAGGGAGGTCTTCCATCCAATGGTTCACTCCCCAATTGGCCACAACAGCCGGAGCTGCGCTGATCTGAAGCCAGGAGCCAGGAACTTCTTCCGGGTCTCCCACATGGGTGCAAGGGCCCAAGGACGTGGGCCATCTTCTACTGCTTTCCCAGGCCACAGCAGAGAGCTGAATTGGAAGTAGAGCAGCCAGGTCTCGAACCGGCACCCATATGGGATGCTGGCGCTTTAGGCCAGAGCATTAACCCGCTGCGCCACAGCATCGGCCCCGGATTTTCTCTCTTGAAAAATGTTTGTTTAGGTCCTTGACCCATCTCTCTTTTTTTTTTTTAAGATTTTTATTTATTTATTTGAGAGGTAGAGATACAGACAGTGAGAGAGAAAGAGAGAAAGGTCTTCCTTCTGTTGGTTCACTCCCCAAATGGCCCCAATGGGCGGAGCTGCAGTGATCCGAAGCCAGGAGCCAGATGCTTCTTCCTGGTCTCCCACGTGGGTACAGGGGCCCAAGGACTTGGGCCATCTTCTACTGCTTTCCCAGGCCACAGCAGAGAGCTGGACTGGAAGAGGAGCAACCGGGACTAGAACCGACACCCATATGGGATGCTGGCGCCACAGGCGGAGGATTAACCTACTCCGCCACGGCGCTGGCCCCAGCCCATCTCTTAAGTGGGTTGTTTGTTTTGTGGTTGGAGTTTCTTGACCTCTTTGTAGATTCTGGTTATTAATCCTTTATCAGTTGCATAATTTGCAAATAATTTCTCTGATTCTGTCAGTTGCCTATTCACTTTCCTGACTGTTTCTTTTGCAGTACAGAAACTTCTCAATTTGGCCTTAGTCCCAGGTTCCTGACCAAGAGTGTCTTAAGACCTCCAGCTTCTACAGAGTGGTAAGAGTGGAGTTTTGGATGTCAGTGAGATGACTGGTGACTGAAAGGCCCTAGCTGGCTTCAGGATGGGGACTGGCTGCCAGAGGAGCCAACTATGATGAGAGGAACAGAGCTGATGTGGGCAAGGAGCACATTGTTTTCCAATCCAGGTTCTTGTCTCACACAGAGATAAAAGTTCTAAGGGGTGGTTGGTAACATGCACAAACAGGAGCAGAATTTACTTAACTGAGGGGTAATAGACACACATGTATGCACAGAGTGTGGCCAACTGCCTACCCAGAGGGTTGCCCATGAGAGAGACAGAAAATGAGAGTGCTATCTCCAGCTTCTGAAACTGGTCTGTGATAAAGAGGGACCTCCCTCCCCTCCCCACCCCCACTCCCACCCCCACCCCACCCCCAATCCCTGGCTCTTCTCTTACTATGAGGTAGGGGGTGGTACCTTAGATATACAGATGGGGTGGGGTCTGAGCATTTGCTCTGGTCTTGGATGAGACTGGTGCACCTTGGGAAGACAGGTGTATCAAATTGACAGTCAGAGAGTTAGGATTACATTGCAGGGTTCTAAGAATGCCAGCTCACCTAAGCTTAACTATCTGCCTCGTTACACCATGTCAGAGTCTTCAGCCCTACTCCCAGACCCCCAGAAGGGTGGAAGGACTGGAGATTGACTTACTCACTCATGGTCAATGATTTTTATCCATCACACCTCCTTAAAACCCTGAATGACAAGGCTGGGAGAGCTTCCTGGTTGCTAGGAGGGTGGCATCTCCCAAGAGGGCATGGAAGCTCTGCTCCTTTCCACATACTTGGCCCTCTGCATCTCTTCCATTTGGCTGTTTATGAGTTGGATCCTTGACAGTAAACCAGTAACAGTAAGTCAGCTGCTTTCCTGAGTTCTACGAGCTGTTCTGGGAAATTAATCAAGCCCAAGAGTTGGGTTGTGGGAACCCCTGATTTACAATGGGTTGATCAAAAGTACGTGTTTCTTTATTATTTTTAAAGATTTATTTATTTTTTGAAAGGTGGAGTTACAGAGAGAGGTAGAGAGAGAGAGAGAGAGAGGTCTTCCATTCGCTGGTTCACTCCCCAAATGGCTACGATGGCAGGAGCTGTGCCAATCCGAAGCCAGGAGCCTGGAACTTCCTAAGGATCTCCCACGTGGGTACAGGGGCCCAAGGACTTGGATCATCCTCCAGTGCTTTCCCAGGCCGTAGCAGAGAGCTGGATCAGAAGTGGAGCAGCCAGGACTCAAACTGGTGTCTGTATGGGATGCCAGCACTGCAGGCAGCAGCTTTCTCTGCTATGCCACAGCGACAGCTCCGGTACATGTTCCGAAAATGGATATAGCTGGTGGGGCTGACACTTGGTGCAGAGGTTAAGACGCCACTTGGGACACTCACACCTCATTTCAGAGTGCCTGGATTCGAGTGTTGGTCTGTTTCAAATTCTAATATCCTGCTAATGTGCACCTTGGGAGACAGCAGGTGATGGCTCAAGTACTTGGGTCCCTGTCTCCCTATGAGAGACCTGCAATGACTTCCTGGTTCCTGGCTTCAGTTCAGCCCAGCCCCAACTGTTGTGGGCATTTGGGCAGTGAACCAGCAATGGAAGGGCTCTCTCTCTCTCTCCACTTTTCAAATAATAAATATATAAACAGATTTTAATGGAAACACTCTTGGGGGATTGAGCTCTTAGCCTGTGGGGTCTGCACTAACTCCAAGTAGTGTCAGAGTTGCATGATGAGATACCCAATTGGTATCTGAAGAATTGGTGCATCAGTTGATGTGGAAACCTCCTCCCATATTTGGTCAGAAGTGTGTGAATAGAGAGAGATGTGGGTTGTCCTAGCTTCTTTTTCTTTTTTCAAAAAGATTTATTTTCTTTATTTGAAAGACAGAGTTATAGAGAGAGGGAGAGGCAGAGAGAAAGGTCTTCCATCCGCTGGTTCACTCCCCAAATGGTGCAACAGCCAGAGCTGAGCCAATCAGAAGCCAGGATCCAGGAGCTTCTTCCAGGTCTCCCACCTGGGTGCAGGGGCCCAAGCACTTGGTGTTATATCTTAATGTTAGCTGTCGCAAAGCACACTGGACACCGGAGTAAGGGAATCGGTTTATTGGGGAACAACCTACAGACCGGAGTGAAGGGGCGGCGAAGGAAAAAGGGGGAGACTGTGAGAGAGAGACAGAGAGGAGAAGAGCTAGCAAGGAGAGAAGAGAGAGCAGAGAAGAGGAGAGAGGAGAGCAGAGCCAAGAGAGCAGAGGAGGAGGCTGGAGAGAGGAACCGAGAGAGAGAGCAGGAGAGAAGGGCCAAGAGAGCACGTGTTCAGGAACAGGCCCTTTTAAAACTTTGCCTGAGGGTGGGCAGGGAAGCAGGAGTAGCCAATCCCATTAGGATGGGGGTGGAGCCTGGCTCAGGTAGTTGGGCCATGTGGCCAACTGCTCCAGTTTCCTAACACTTGGGCCGTCTTCCACTGCTTTCTCAGGCACATTAGCAGGGAGCTGGATCAGAAGAGGAGCAGCCACTTGAACTGGTTCCCATATGGGATGCTGTTGCTGTAGGCCAAGGCTTTAACCCTCTGCCACAGCGCTGGCCTGTTCTAGCTGTTGCTGCTGCTGGCTGCTGCTTCTTCTTCTAAAGATTTATTTATTTACTTGAGAGACAGAGTTACAGACAGAGAGAGAGCAGAGATCTTCCATCTGCTAGTTCACTCCCCAAATGGCTGCAACGGCCAGAGCTGGGCCAATCCGAAGCCAGGAGTCAGGAGCTTCTTTCAGGTCTTCCACATAGGTGCAGGGGCCCAAGGACTTGGGCCATCCTCCACTGCTTTCCCAGTGTTATATCTTAATGTTAGCCGTTGCAAAGCACACCGGAAACTGGAGTAAGGGAAAGGGTTTATTGGGGGACACCCTACAGACCGGAGTGAAAGGGCGGCGAAGGAAAAAAGAGAGAAAGTATAAGAGAGAGAAACAGAGAGGAGAGGAGCTAGCAAGTAGAGAAGATAGAGCAAAGAGGAGAGCAGAGCCAAGAGACCAGAGGGGGAGGCTAGAGAGAGGAACTGAGAGAGAGCAGGAGAGAAGGGGCCAAGAGAGAGCACGTGTTCAGGAACAGGCCCTTTTAAAACTTTGCCTGAGGGCAGGCAGGGAAGCAGGAGCAGCCAATCCCATTAGGATGGGGGTGGAGCCTGGCTCAGGTAGCTGGGCCATTTGGCCACCTGGCTACAACTGCGCCAGTTTCCTAACACCCAGGCCACAGCAGGGAGCTGGATTGGAAGTGGAGCAGCTGGGACTCGAACCAGTGCCCATATGGGATGCTAGCATGCAGGTGGTGGCTTTACCTGCTATACCACACTACCGACCCCGTGTTCTAGCTTCTTAAATGCCTAAGAGAAGCAGTCTATGGTCCTGATAAACTAAGTAAGCTTTAAAGTTGGACCAGACCCTAAACTGGACTTGGTCTTAATATCCATGTGAACTTGAACAAATTATCCTTGTATCTTAATCATTTCATCTATAAAATGAGAATAATCCTGACACCTACCTTTGTTTCTCATGGGATTAAGGAAATACTGTGTTCTAAGTGATTGTGGTTATCATTACTGCAGTCCAAAGCATTCCAGCCATCCTTTGTTCCCCATTCGTTCAGCAGAGTGCATGGTCTCAATTGTCTAGGCCTCCCCGAGGCTGTTTGCCTGCTTGGGTAACTCACTCCAACCCTCTCCAACCCCCATCCCTCTGTTCTTTTTACCTCCCTCCTCCCTCCCTGCAGTCTTAGGATGCTTCCTCACCTTTCAAGACTCACCTGAAGTGTAAGCTTGTCTGTGAGGCTTTCTCTCACTCTCCCAGAGAGTTTCCTGTAGCAATTGATTTGCGCAGTATTATTTGATCGTTTTTGAGCTATTGGCCACGTCTCTACATGTGAACATGTTGCCATACCAGGATTTCTTCCGGGACTGCAAAGTCCTTCAGGGTAGAGCTGAAAGTGACAAAAAGCAACCTAAAGCAAAAGGGAGATGGCTCTGGAAGATAAAGTACTTACAAATTTAAAATGACAGGTGAAAAGTAACCAATTTTTTTATTTTTTATTATTTATTTGACAGGTAGAATTATAGACAGAGAGAGAGTCAGAGAGAAAGGTCTTCCTTCCATTGGTTTACCCCCAAAATGGCCGCCATGGCCAGTGCTGAAGCCAGGAGCCAGGAGCCAGGAGCCAGGTACCTCTCCTGGTCTGCCATGCGAGTGTAGGGCCCAAGCACTTGGGCCATCCTCCACTGCACTCCCAAGCCACAGCAGAGAGCTGGCCTGGAAGAGGAGCAACCGGGACAGAATCTGGCACCCCGACAGGGACGAGAACCCAGTATACTGGCGCCACAGGCGGAGGATTAGCCTTTTGAGCCGCGGTGCCGGCTCCAAGCTTACCTTTCAATTCCACTTTTCCCAAACACGATTGGAAGTACCCTTGTGCTCTGTAGCCCACATTCCGTATTGAGGAGACCTCATCAAGCTCCAGCCCTCCCACAAAGCACTGCCAAGGCGCCGGCTGGCTGTCCCCAAGGGGCCCTCTCCTTTCTCCCAGCAGTTGCTGGAGTCCAGCTTTCCCTTCCACTTTGTGTCCTGCACAGCTCCTGGCGTGAGGCCTCGCAACACGGCAGGCTGCTGAGTCAATGTTGATCTACGGCAGATTTGACTTCAGATTCCATCTGGGCAGTTTGTGTTTGAGAAACCAGACAGGAGACAGTGGACCCAGCTGAGCTGTCTGCAGACAGATGTTGTTCAACAGGGAACATGTCTTTCAGTTTCCCAGTCTGTCTTTGCTTCCAGGGCGCCTTACATGGAACAAATTCCCACCCTCCATGAATGCCCAAAACCGCATTCGCAGCAATGCTGAATCTATTCATATTTCCAGAACTCTAATCATAAATCCCTCTCCTAAAAGCACTTCCCTCCCATGCACCTGCTGGGAGCAAACATCTATCTCAATGGGTCGAACAGGCAGTCAAAATGAAAGGAAGCCAGTGTACTGTAGGGAACAGGTGGGGATTGTGGGCAATGCCAGATGTTAGCCTGAGCACAGGCACATTTCTTCTCACCCCCCCACCTTCTGCCAATCAGGTAAACTGCTCCCAGGTGTGGTCCAGGCCCACCTGGAAAGCTACCTCCAAGCTGATTGGAGAGGCATATTGGCACCAGTGCCAGTTCTGTCCTATAGTTAGTGTTCCCCTGAGTTAGTTATGCCCCTTCTCCCTGCCCTTTAAAAAGCATACGTGGTTGTGAATAAATTCAGACATGTTAGCCAAAACTTGTCTCCGGTGCAAAATTTTTTTTAAGATTATTTATTCAAAAAGCAGAGTTAGAGAGGCAGAGAGAGAGAGAGAGAAAGAGAGAGAGAGCTCTTCCATCTGCTGGTTCACTCTCCACTTGGCTGCAATGGATGGAGCTATGCTGATCCAAAGCCAGGAAGCAGGAGCTTCTTCCGGGTCTCCCATGCAGGTGCAGGGTCCCAAGGACTTCTGCTGCTGCTTTACCAGGCCATAGCAGAGAGCTGGATTGGAAGTGGAGCAGCCGGGATTTGAACTAGCGCCCATATGGGATGCTGACACTATACACAGTGGTTTTACCCACTACGCCGCAGTGCCAGACTCCTCAAATATTTTCACAAGATCTGCCTTGCACCTTTGCATGCTCATTCCCTTACCTCTTCCAACAAATGTTAATTGAGCATTTGCTCTGTGCCAGCCCATAATAGGTGCTGAAGATACAGTGATGAGCAAGCTTGTCATACAATGGGGAGACGTTAGAAGTCATCCACACTGTGACAAACATTGTAGAGGAGAAGGGTGGGTCTGAAGTATGTCCAAGGGCTCCCTGCTATCAGAGGACTAGATGGTATCTTAGCTGAGGCTAAGGGTGAGCAAAGGAAACAAAGCTGAGAGTGAGAGGTGAGGAGGACAGTACAGACAGGGTTTGCCATGAAATAGTTTTTTTTTTTTTTTTTTTGGACAGGCAGAGTGGACAGTGAGAGAGAGAGACAGAGAGAAAGGTCTTCCTTTGCCGTTGGTTCACCCTCCAATGGCCGCCGCGGCCGGCGCGCTGCGGCCGGCGCACCGCGCTGATCCGATGGCAGGAGCCAGGTGCTTTTCCTGGTCTCCCATGGGGTGCAGGGCCCAAGCACCTGGGCCATCCTCCACTGCACTCCCTGGCCACAGCAGAGGGCTGGCCTGGAAGGGGGGCAACCGCGACAGAATCTGGCGCCCCGACTGGGACTAGAACCCGGTGTGCCGGCGCCGCTAGGCAGAGGATTAGCCTAGTGAGCCGCGGCGCCGGCCGCCATGAAATAGTTTTAAAAATCTAAATACTAGGGAATAAAGAAGTGAAGTAAAGAATTTAAAGATTTGTTTATTTATTTGAAAGGCAGAGTTAGAGAGGGAAGGAGGGAGAGCAAGAGAGAGAGAGACGGGGGTGGGGGAGGGAGGGAGGTCTTCCATCCCCTGGTTCACTCCCCAAATGGCTGCAAAAGCCAGATTTGGGCCAGTCTGAAGCCAGGAGCCAGGAACTTCTTCTGGGTCTCTTACATGGGTGCAGGGGCCCAAAGACTTGGGCCATCTTCCATTGCTTTCCTAGGCGTGTTAGCAGGAAGTTGGATCGGAAGTGGAGCAGCTGGGATTTGAACCAGTGCCTATATGGGATGCCGGCGCTGCAGGTGGAGGCTTAACCTCCTATGCCACAGTAGTTTATTTCTTTTCTCTTCAACATGCAGGCCCTAGGTCTGGTTGTTGGATGCTCCTCTTTGATTTCAGAGATTCAAGCTCCTCCTGTCTGCTGTGTCTCCACCCTGAGTGACCACGTCCAAGAGGGCAGCTTCTGCATCCGAGGCAGCATCAAGGAGGGAGAAAAAAAGAAGAGGGTTCCAGCTCTTAGGGAAGGTCCTGCAAACATGTAGCCTGATCTGGCTGCAAGTGAAGTTGGGAAACACAGTCTTTCTGTTGGGCAGCCAGGTGCCATCCTAGAATTCGGAGTGGGCTGATTGCTGCAGAATGGCATCCTCAACCACAGCTGTGCAGTAGACCACCTGGGAGCTGTGGAAGGTCCTGGCGCTCACTGCATGCAGGTCAAGTAAATATGGCAGAGGAGACAATCACTAATGAATCTCCCGGATACATAGAGTACATTAAAAGTTGGTAAGAGGCCGGCGCCGTGGCTCACTAGGCTAACCCTCCACCTAGCGGCGCCGGCACACCGGGTTCTAGTTCCGGTCGGGGCACCGGATTCTGTCCCGGTTGCCCCTCTTCCAGGCCAGCTCTCTGCTGTGGCCCGGGAGTGCAGTGGAGGATGGCCCAAGTCTTGGGCCCTGCACCCCATGAGAGACCAGAAGAAGCACCTGGTTCCTGGCTTCGGATCAGCGCGGTGCGCCGGCCATTGCGGGGTGAACCAACAGAAAAAGGGAAGACCTTTCTCTCTGTCTCTCTCTCTCACTGTCCACTCTGCCTGTCAAAAAAAAAAAAAAAAAAAAAAAAAGAGGCTGGTCAACAATGGTCAGTAGAATTCAACCCTGTGGCTGTTTTCAGAATGATCAGAAAATGAGCTTTCTCTCTGTGAGCAGGAGGAGCAAGAAGAGAACGTGGGCCGGGAGCTGCTGTGCTGCACGGAGACGGCCAGATAGCAGATGAAGCCAACACAAGGGGAGCTGAAGGGCGCAGGAGGACCCAGCGTGCTTCCCCAGCTCTGCTCTCAGGCAGTCGCTCAGCATGCTCTGGTTTGCATGCAGTGTGTCCTCCACGGGCTCCTGCTTTGGAAGCAGGGTCCTCAGAGTGGAGATGCTGCGTGCCAGTGCGGGCAGTGGGAGGTCCTTAAGTCATTGGGCGTGCTGCCCTGGAAGAGGACCTCAGTGCCCCGTGGCTTCCTAATCTACTGTGTAGTTGATCCCCTACATGCTCACACCACTGGGATGCCACCAGCTGTGAGGCCCTCAGCAAAGCTAAGTTGAGCTGGTGCTATATCTTTTAGCTGAGCTGGTGCTGTATCTTTTTTTTTTTTTTTAAGGTTTATTTATTTTGAAAGAGTTGCAGAGACAGAGAGAAAGAGATCTTCCACCCACTGGTTCACTCCCCACCCAGATGGCTGCAATGGCCAGGGCTCTGCCAGGCCTAAGTCAGAAGCCAGGAGCTTCATCCAGGTTTCCCACATGGGTGGCAGGGACTCAAGCACTTGGGCCATCTTCTATTGCTTTTCCCAGGCCATTAGCAGTGGAGCAGCCAGGACATGAACTGGCACCCATATAGGATGTTGGCTTTGCAGGCGGTGGCTGTACCCACTCCGCCACAACACTGGCCCTAGCACCAGGTCTTTGAACCTCCCAGGACTGTGAGCTAAATAAACCTTTCTTCTTTATAAAGTAAAAAATTATTTGAGGGCTGGCGTTGTGGCATAGCAGGTTAAGCCTCTGCCTGCAATGCTGGCATCCCATTATGGGTGCCAGTTCAAGACCCGGCTGCTCTACTTCTGGTCCAGCTCCCTGCTAATGTGCCTGGGAAAGCCGTGGAGGATGGCCCAAATACTTAGGCTCCTGCAGCTGTGTGGGAGACCTGGAGGAGGCTCTGGGCTCCTGGCTTTGGCCTAGCCCAGTGCTGGCTGTTGTGGCCATTTGGGGAGTGAACCAGCTCTCTCTTCCTGTTCCTTCCTCTTTCTCTGTAACTTTCAAATAAATAAATCTTTAAAAAAAAAAAAAGGATCCTCTGGCTGCTGAGTTGGGAAGAGATTGCAGGCAGATTTGGGTAGCTGGAGGGAGGTCAACCTGTAGCAACATTTAAGTGGGTGCTGACCTCGGTTCTGACCAGGATCATGGCAGTGATGAGCAATGATCAGATCCTGGATACTTTTGGAAAATAGCAGAGGCCGGTGTTGTGGTATAACAGGTTAAGGTGCTGCCTGTGACAATAGCATCCCTATGGGCAGCAGTTCGAATCCCAGATGCTCCACTTTTGATCCAGCTTCCGGCTAATGCTCTTGGGAAAGCAGATGAAGATGACCCCAAGTCCTTAGGTGCCTACACACATGGGAGACCTGGAAAAAACAACTCCTGGCTCTAGGCTTCAGCCTGGCCTGGTCCTAGCCATTGAGGCCACAACAGCTGGGGCTGGGTTCGGCTGAAGCTGGCACCCAGGAACTCCCATCCATCCCACTTGGGGGACTGGGACTCAACGACTTGACCTGTCACCGGCTGCCTCCTGCTTCAGCAAGAAACTGGAATCTGAAACGGAGCCTGGACTTTCACTCTGATGTAGGGAATCCGGCATCCCAAGGAGCTGAGCCAAAGCGGAGCCCGACACCCACCCACCGTTTCTTTTACGGTGTCATGAACACACAGCAGATATCACTTCAGACCGTTTACAGGCACTTTTGGTCTTTTTTCCTACTGGAACGTGCATCCTGAGAGACTTCCCGGGCATTTGCAGTGAATTCCACATTCACAGACTGACTGCGTGGCTGACCCCTGAAGTTTTAACTTTACTAACGTTTTTTCAAAAGCCACCCAGCTGGACACTGAGCCCACCCCGCCACACCCACCATCCCGCCACACCCACCATCCCGCCTCAGTGCTCTCTGTTCTGTTCTCTTCCTCTTCAAACTTGCTTACTCTCAGAATG